CATTGTTTGAAGCAAATAGATGATTGTTGAAGAGTATACATCGAGTTTAATACCTATCAATTCGGTTGGTTAGTTGAGAGTAATGAACAAATTGCTTCTCGTTATCTTGTGGTTTGAATCTTTTATTAGAGACGAGGATGGGAGTAGTTCGTTTATACAACATTGAAGATGCTCGTCAATATGCTTATCAGCAGAAAAACGAGTTTTCACTATAGGTATAAAAGCCCTTATATGACACCAATTGGAAAACGATTCTGGAGCTCGACAGAGGTTACCAAACATCCCACAAAATTATCGAGAAGCTACCAAACAATAAAACTAATGGGGGTGCAACCATAGTTGAAAGAACGATAAAGGCAAGAGTATAATACCTTATGGTGGACAAAACAATTCTGGTTCTTCTACAAATAAAGGAGGCAGCAATTCCATATTGATGTTTTACTTGTGGGGAGAAGGACACACTTCTTTTGCTTGCCCACAAAGAGAGTGAACTTAGCTGAATTTAGGAGGAATTAGAACCCATTTATGATAATATGATGAAAATAACAAGAAATTGATGTGTATCTTGCACAAGGTGAGTCATAGTGGTAGAAGAGTGATGACAACACAGTAAATGAGGAAGCAGAAGATTGGAGGAGGCGAAGTATTTTTCGCATCCGAGTTGTTTGGGAAGGTAATGTATGTGATCTTGTCATTGATGGAGGAAGCATGGAAAAATATTATTTCAAAAGAGGTAGTAAACAAATTAAGCTCCCTACAAGCAAACATCCTCATCTTTACAAGATTGGGTGGCTAAAGAAAGGACACGAAGTACCATAACTACCCATGTTTGGTAAAATTCACTATGGGAGGTAACTGGGATGATGAGGTTTATGCGATGTTGTGCCAATGGATGTTGTATATTCTTGTTGTAGACCTTGGTTGTATGATCATGATATGGATCATAAGACGAAGCCAAATACCTATTCCTTCTACAAGGACAACAAGAGGTGTACTTTATATCCTCTTAAAGAAGAGACTAAACAATTGGCAACTCCAAGCCCCACAAGCAGCAAAATTGTTGGATATTTATCTGCTGAAAATTTTGAAGCTAAAGGTAGTAATGAAGAGAAGTGAAACAAGTGAATCCAGACATCTATGAGAAGTATATTAAGGCCTACTCGTCGGAGCCAAGTTTTTCTAATCAAGGGGACTGATGCAAGGCGCATCAAGAATTTTATTTTATTTAGTATTTTCTTAGCTTAGGATTTTATTTATTTATTTTATTTAGTTTGAAATTCTTTTCCTATCTTTATTAGAATTTTAGTACTTTAAGTCTTTATTTAGGATTAGGATTAGTATTTGATTAGGATTTATCTTAGCTATTATAAATAGGTGATCCTAGATATAGGATTATTATCTTTTTTTGTTATTTTTGAATATTTATTCAAAAGGTTTCTTTTAAAACCCAATTATCTTTCTATTATTCCAACACAATCAACCCTATTCTAGCCCTAATTTTTGAGTTCTAATTGCCCTAAACCCTTTGACTACATCATAACCGTATTCCCGAACTTAATTTTTTTTGAAGATCGAATCTTATTTTTTTCTAGTAAAACCTAAGTTAAGCATATGATCTCATTAGAAAAAATAAATTCACAAAGCTGGTTAATCACAGCTAAATAAAAAAATTGATGACAACTCCTCTTTTTTGTCAAATGATTGAGTTTATAGACTCACACGTCATGACACTATGGACTTTCCAAACCTAAGATTTTTAAAAGAGCTGCTAAAATGACCACTTTACCTTTTTTTTTTTGTAAACCAAGGCATAATTGTTGATACAAAGGGCTCAAGCATCGATGCTTTTTGTTTTGGGTTTTAAGTATCGATACTTGTTCCTCAGATTGCTTTTAAAAAATTTTCTGGGCATCAGGTTAGATAATTTGATTATAAGTATTAATACCTTCCTCACAGAATGTTATTTTTCTTTCAACAATGTATCCATTTTGAGTTATCTCTTATCTCAACCTCCTAATTTACTTCCCGCTTGCATGGATACTCACAATATCCTTGCAAGGAAAACTTTCCCAAGTGAAACCCTTCTTAACTTACCTTCCCGTGTTTAGTTTGGGTAGGAGGTTTACTATCTTAGCATTGGTACGTGGACACAGGGTACATTTGATAGATATGATGGTATTGCTCAGCCATAATTTCTCTAGCTTATCGAAAATCTTAATTGGTTCTAAATATGTAGGCACGTGTCCTTTATCGCAGCTAATAACTTAACTTTAGTAAGGACTAACTCCTATGCCTTCAATATTACCTTGTTAACAAGATCATCTAAAGTACTAATTGTCGTTCACAACCTAGGTGAGTCCTTGTAGTTTTGGTCGTTGATCTCATGACTTGTGCATACTTCGTACTTAGGTATTGTTTAACGACAATCTTTTAACCAAGGTACTAATAATCTTATAATTTGCACTTATTTAAATCACATCCCAATCATGTAGTCCAATATCTCTTTCCATTGTAACCTCGAAATATCAAAATAGTCTTTGACCTTTGGACATACATATTTCTAACAACTTAAGACAATTGCACAAGACGTGTAGAACCATGTTTTCACTAATCATTTGGAAGTAATCCGAAGGCATTTACATTCATTGGAAATTTAGGTTGGAGTAGCAACAAAAACCAAGTGGAAACTATCCTTAAAACTCAATATTTTACAAAGATGTACATTAGGGCTTGATATCTTAGGGTTGGGTATAGATCCTTTCCTGACAGAATGCTCCCGAAAGTATTCTGCCTTCCATGTATCAATACTTCCTTCATGAGTATCGATACCTCCTTCATGGTTGTCGATACTTTCTTCATGAGTATCAATACTTCCTACCCAAAACACTTTTGAAATTTCCAAATTTCACCATTTTACCATTTAATCCTCCAAGGAACATATTTCACTTATAACCATCTAACTTTTGGCACCACCCAAGTGCAATATACCCTTCCTATGGTTAGGATTTTATAATCTTAACACCATACAAGAAAATCAAGTATCCTTTGATTACTTCAAGTCACCATATGCCAATTTCATTCTTTAACAACTAGCACACTCTTCCAAGTCTGTCTCTGATCCATGTAAGGCAATTGTAAGCACATTAAAGATGTCCTCTAGTTATCTTAAGAGACCATGTGCCACTTTCATTCTCTTTAACAGCCAAAAATTTTTTGTAATCAATAATCCTTAAATCACAACCCGGATCAAACCAATATTGTAGATTGAATTCGTGAGTTGTTACGCCATACACTTTCATGTTTAATTCTTGATTCATCCAAGTCTTCTTCAAGTTAAAACATGATTTACTTCCGAGTTCCTTTGTATCCTTTTTTTGGCTGCTCTTTACTTTATCATCATATTTTAAATCTTGATAGTTGTTCCTTTTCTGTATGATTTAAGTGGCAATTTAGAAGAATTATGTTAGGATATATTGAGTTATGTTGTGTTGCAAATTTAGAAGAATTATTTTGGGATATATTTAGTTATGTTGTGTTTCTCTTTGTGTGATCCAAAAGGAAGTCTGGGAGGATATTTTTGTTTTTGTCGCACTGTTAGAGCTTACTGAAATGTTGTTAAAGGTTTGAGGTTGCTAATGAAATGATGATCCTATTAGACTTTATTTACTAAATAATCATTTCCCTTTTTAAAATAAAATTAAAAAAAAGAATGAGATGGACCTTTTAGGATCATGTGTTCTGAGAAGGAATCCATTTGGAAATCAGTAAATTTCATTTCTTTAGGTAGACCACTGAAGTAGTCATTCTTGCTTTTATTACCTTCTTGCCCTGTGTTTGACCACCACAGAGTGTACTGCTGAAAGCTAAAACGATGGCACTTTAGGTCTTTGAAACAAGAGTCTTACGCACTTTCGAGTATTACATTTGCTCAATCTCTCTGTAGTTACATCTTGGTGAGGCAAAGAAGACTTCCCTCCTAAATCACCTGACTCTGAGATCTGCCATTAATTTTCTTTCTTTCCATCTCCTTATCTACTGGTGAGCACTCTCTTCTCTGTCTACCAATTTCAAGTCCTCCTTTACCGTTTTTTCCTTTCTTCTTTTTCCTGAATCTATAAATTCACTATACTACCAATTGTTATGTTCTGCCTTTTTGTTTCTAGAATTTGTAATGGGACACAAGCACATGTTTCTCTCTTCTTGTTCCTTTTCTCTTTCTTCTTTCATTGTATGCAAATGCTAATGGAATCTTTTTTCCTTTCTCTTTTTTTTGTTCTTCCTTACCTTAAGTATATAAATCTTTATCTGCATGCACAAATTTCTTGTAGAATGGTTAGTGTCACCTCTACTATTAGTCAGTTTAATATTTTTTTTTCATGGTTGTGCTCATGGGCTTTATCATTGCCTAATATTGTTCATTCATTAACGTTTTTTGTTTTTTTTTTCTTTTTTATGTTAAGAAGGCACTGTTGGCTATATGGTGGAGAGTGACTTAACCCTAGAAGTTCAATTTATTGCCTTATGAGTTTACTTTAAGCTAAATGTTCTTGCAAACTGCAAGCGCCAAATTTTGCACCTTGAACTTTGAGAATAAAAGGATAATTCAAATTTATAGCATCAAACGTAAAATGTGAGATTGTTGTTATAAATAGAAAAAGTGTTGATTAACACTCAATAGTGTCAATCATTACTATGTTATCATGCATGCAAATGAATAAGTTTAAGGAAGATCTATTTTTTGCACTTTAAGGGCATAAAAGGTCTTTAAATGGCCTAAACGCTTAAGTAAATCGAATCTTTATGTATGACAACATGTTTTACAGCTTTACCAAGTTTGAAATGATAAACTTATG